AGCTAAAACCTCCAGTAGTGTTAAATAAAAGTGGGGGCAGACGGCATTCTTCTCTGGTCCCCCTTTTCAGAGGGATTGCTTATCTTTTCTCCCTGGACTACCACATTGGCTGTTAGTTTTTCATGCACACCTTGTATTATTTTGAAGAATTTCCCTTCCATTCCTATCTCCTGAGTGTCTTAAACAGGAATTGGTGTTGGATGTTGTCAAATGCTCTTTCTGTATCTATCAATATTATCATGTGGTTCTTATATTTTTTCATTTAAATGTGATGAATAGTACTAATGGCCTTTCATATGTTGAACCATCCCTGCATTGCTGGTATGAATCTCACTTGGTCATGGTAAATTATTTGTTTTATATCATTTTTTATTTTATTGACCAGTATCTTGTTAAGGATTTTTGCATCGATGGTCATTAAGGATATTGGTCTGTAGTTCTCGATTCTTGTGGGCTCCCTGACCAGTTTAGATAATAGAGCTATACTAGCTTCATAGAAGGAGTTCGGGAGTTTGCCATCTTTTTCTATGTTTTGGAAGAATTTGTGTAGAATTGGTGTCAATTCTTCCCTGAATGCTTTGCAGAATTCTCCTGTGAAGCCACCTGATTCAGAGGATTTTTCTGTTGGTAATCTCTTGATAAACTTGTCTATTTCTTCTATTACTGTGGGTCTGTTGAGATTCTTGACATCCATTGGGAATAGTCTAGGGAGAGATTATTTTTCCAAGAAATTGTTCTTGTCTTCTAAGTTGCTGAATTCATTGGAGTACAGTCCTTCATATTACTGTGTAATTATCCTTTTGATTTCATTAGGGTGTGTTGTAATGTCCTCTCTTTCATCCCTCATCCTTGCTATTGAAATTTGTTCCTTCCTTTCTTTGGTTAGATTTGCCAGTGGTCTGTTGATTCTGTTTATCCTTTCAAAGAACCAACATTTAACAGTATTAATTTTTTCCATAGTTTTCTTTCTTTTACAAAAAAATCATTTTATTTTGGGCTTGTACAACTCTTATTACAATCCATACAGCTATCCATTGTGTCAAGCACATTTTGTACATTTATTGCCATCATAATTCTCAAAACATTTGCTTTCTGCTTGAGTCCTTGGTATCAGTTCCTCATTTTTCCTCTCCCTCCCCGCTCGCCCCTCCGTCATGAACACTTGATAACTTATAAATTGTTATTATTTTGTCATATCTTACCCACCCCCTTCATCCACTTTTCTGCTGTCCATCCTCCAAGGAGGAGGTTATATGTAGATCCTTGTAATTGGTTCCCCCTTTCCACCCCACCCTTCTTCCACCCTCCCAGTATTGTCCCTCTCATCACTGGTCCTGAAGGGATCATCTGTCTTGGATTCCCTGTGTGTGTGTCCACTTCCTATCTGTACCAGTGTAAATCCTCTGGTCTAGCCAGATTTGTAAGGTAGAAGTGGGAATTGGGATCATGATAGTGGGGGTGGGTGGGTGAGGAAGCATTTAGGAACTAGAGAAAAGTTGTATGTTTCATCATCCATAGTTTTCTTAATTTCCATCTCCTGAATCTCAGGATTTTTTTTAATTTTTTTTATTTCTTCTCCTTTGCTATCGTAGGATTGTCATGTTGACTCTGCTCTAGTTGCTGTAAATTTTGTGCCAGCATATCAGTCATTAGTCTCTCTTCCTTTTTCATGTGTGCATGTATTGCTACGAAACTTGCTCTGATAACTGCCTTTGCTGTGTCCCATAAGTTTTGGTATGTTGTGTTCTTATTCTCATTGGTTTCTAGAAAATTCCCAATTTCATCTCTGATCTGAGCCAGTACACACTCCTTTTGCAATAGAGAGTTATTCACCCTCCAATTGTTTCCTCTTATTTTCTTCATCTTCCTTTTGTTTATTTCCAGCCTTATGGCACAGTGGTCAGAGAAAGTGGTGGGTATGATATGAATGTGCTAAAATTTATGCAGATCTGCCTTATGCCCCAGCTTGTGGTCTGTCTTCAAATATGTGCCATGTGGACTTGAAAGGAATGTGATTTTTTTTAGATTTGGATGAAAAGCTTTGTAAATATCTATCAGGTAAAATTGTCTAATTGTAATGTTTAGATCTCTAGCCTCCTTGTTGAGTTTATTTCCCTGTGATCTATCTTTCTCAGAGAGTGGTGTATTGAATTCCCCTACTATAATGGTTGAGGTTGTGATTTCTTTTTTCATCTTTTGGAGTGTTTGGTTGATGTATTCGGTGGGTCTCTCCTTCCGGGAATATGTATTTAAAATGTTTAGTTGTTCTTTGTCTACCGTTTCCTTGAGCATTATATACTGTCCCTCCTTACCTCTTTTTGTCAATTTTTACAAGTTAGGATTGAAACCCCTGCTTTTTTAAAATTGCTGTTTGCTTGGTATGCTTTTCTATAGCCTTTGATTCTCAGCCTATTTTTGTCTGTAGCCTTAAGATGTGTCTCCTGCATGCAGCAGATTAATGGGTTGTGTTTTCTAATCCAGTCTGCTAGCTTCCATCTTTTAATTCCTGAGTTCAGTCCATTGATATTCAGGGATATTTTCTCTATCTGTGGGCTCTGTAATATCATCTTATAACTTTTGTGTTGGGTGTTTTCCTACCTCCCTTTCTTATCAGTGTGCCGTGTGCACACACATGTGCGTGTGTATATGTGTGTTTAATTCTTGACTTCTTTCCACCCTTAAGCCAATGCTATTATGGGGGCTGTTTCCTCTTTGTTGCCCTGTGGGTGGGGTTGTCCTATGTGGCGGTCTATTATTTATGCTTGGTGAGGGCTGCTCTTCTGCCTGTACTGGGTGAGCAAGGATCTTTAGTAAGGCTGGGTTTCTTCTAATGTATTCCTGAGTTTTTCCTTGTCTGGGAAGACTCTTACCTCTCCATCTATCTTGATAGATAATTTGACTGGGTATTCTTGCATTTTCATTGTTTTCCTTCAAATTTGGGAATATGTTACTCCACTCTCTCCTCTTCTTCATAGCTTCTGCTGATAGGTCTGAGCATATTCTTATTTGGGAACCTTTATATGTGATTGCTTTTTTTCCCCTAGTTGCTCTCACGATTTTCTCCTTTTCCTCAAAGTTGGAAAGTTTAACTGTTATGTGCCTTGGTGACTTCTTGGGATTCAGTCTAACTGGTGTTCTTTCAGTCTCCTGAATGGTTGCCTGGTTTTCATTCATTTA